GAAAAAAAGAAAGAAAGAAAGAAGGAAAAAAAGAAAGAAAGAAGGAAAAAAAGAAAGAAAGAAGGAAAAAAAGAAAGAAAGAAATAAGGAAAAAAAGAAAGAAAGAAATAAGGAAAAAAAGAAAGAAAGAAATAAGGAAAAAAGAAAGAAAGAAATAAGGAAAAAAGAAAGAAAGAAAGTAGGAAAAAAAGAAAGAAAGAAAGAAAGGAAGGAAGGAAGGAAGGAAGAAAGCAAGGAAGGAAGGAAGGAAGGAAGGAAGGGTGAAAGAGTGAATTTTTACCTTGGGCAGAGGTGCTAGGCGTCGGTTCGGGTTCCCGTTTCACGCGGGGTGTCAGCGACTCAGGCGTGTCAGTACCATTTTCCGTTGGCTCGTCCTTCCTCGCGGACGACAAGGAGGAGGCGGGGAGGTTGGCGGTGCCCGTCCCGGATCCAGAGTTGCCCCCGACGTTATTGCTGCCCACGTTGTTGCTGCTGTTGCTCGCGTTCCCGGAATTCCTGCCGGTGTTCCCGGCGCCCTCGCTCTGAAAGTCGATACTCATCTTCATTTCCATCATCTCGGGCGAGCCCTGGACGAGGTCGGCCCCCGAGCATGACTGCAGCTCCTGGGCGGAGAGCTCGCTGATCGGTGTGTCGGACGAGCCGCTCAGCTTCCTCGGCCTTCCCCGTTTTCTCTTTGGCGCGGACAAGGCCGAGCCCAACAGGGGATGGCTCGACATGTGGTGCATCCTCTTCTGGGACACGTGGTGGTGAGGCCCGATTTGGTTTATTCTATGTAGATTCGGTGGTGGTGGAGGTACTGTGTTTTGATTGCCAAGCAACGAGGAGGTAATACTGGGCAAGTCACACTTGTCCTCGTTTACCTCGGTCAGGCCCTTTATCCTGAGAGATTCCGCTACTCTCAAGAAGGCGGTCAGCCTGTCCTGGTCGACGCTCACCTCTCCGCGATACATGAAATCCAAAAGGCTTCGCATGTCCACGTAGGGGACATCTTTCAGTATGACTATCGGGTGCTTGTCGGGGTGGCCAACAAAAAGGGCCTGCAAAAAATAAGAAGGCAAGCGTAGGAAAAGGTGAGAAAGGTAATATTAATACACCAATTATTAATAATCCTATTAATATTAATATAGATATATATATATACATATAATAATATTATTATAATATATTATAATTTATTAAGTATATTATATATTATAAGTAATTAAGTAATTATATATTATAGTATATTAGATATAGTATTATTATAATATATATA